CCCGTAGTAGTCGAAATTCGACTATAATTAATTGGAATTGTAAGTTTGTACACTATTATGATTGTATTTTATACTTCTATAATCACAAATTTCGCCAAGACTACACTATAAAAAATATTTAATCTATTCTCAATTTGACAACAGACGTCAAGAACAAAAGCTTGACAATAAATAGTATGCATACGTGTGTGCGTCAAATATATGATATGTAGTGTGTGTAATGTTTTCTTTATCGATTTAATGTATCTTTTATGCATTATTTTAAAAAAATATTAGCATTGTGCACTTCTTCTCTATATTCTCTATAAGTGTGGAAAACATACTCCTCCGTCTGCGCAATTTTCGTAAAAAGGGATACAAAGTTTTTGCTTCACGTATTAATATATAGATTATTCGTGTAGTACCGATTATTTCGACCTACCTTCAAATATGTTTACTTATGACGTACTTTGTAACAGAAACAAAACATTGAAAGAATAACGAATTAGCAGAGCTTAAACTGCTTTTTATTAATAACGATCTAAGCTCTGAGTATCTCTAGCCTCCAAACTTTTAAACAAAGCTTAAATATAAATAAATATAAATATTTATTAACAATCACGCCACGTTAACTGGTCCCGTGATAAGTTCGTAAAGAACTTGTGTTACAAGTACCAGATAACGGAAATAAATGTAAGATTTTTATTATACACATACATATATTTAATATACATCCATAACCCTGGAAAAGAAATCTATATTTATCATACAAATATCTTCCCTTGGCGGGATCCGAACCCGCGACCCCCTTGTGTAGTGACCATGTCACTTACCACTACACCAGACGGCCGTTTGAAGCTATAGGAGCTATAGAAGCTTGAAGCTATAGGAGCCTTTATAGTTCTGCAACCCCACGCTATTTGATTTTTAATTGCATTTACGTTAATTGAGTCGACTATTATCAAAGCCGGCAATCTGACTTTTGGACAATGATTGGTAAATCAGAAAAACGAATTATTGACTTTGTATTCCATTGGCAGTCACAAAACTCTTCGGAACGACATCTTAGATAAATAACAGGTTAACTATTAACCTTTATTTAATGCAGGTTTTGAACTGTATTCTTTGAAGGAGACGATTATATAAAAATCAATCTGTATTGACATATCAATAATTTTTTTTTGTCCAAATGCACAGATTCCCACCTTTGATAATAGAGGACTCAATTGTGCTATTTTGTTACAGCTAAAATCTAACTAAATAGCTTAAAGTGTCATAACAAAATAGCGCATGACGAATAGCACGTTATTAAATCAAATTTACGAGGCCGTTAAGTATTAAATAATTATAGTACTTTTATAAATAAATGCTTATTTTCGGAAACCGCGTTCGTTTAATTTATCGACTCCGCACAGACACCGCGCCGGATTATTTGTTATTAGATATTTATCGTTCGCTAGTGCTTTTTCGCGGTTTCGTTCGCTCGTAAATAACGTTTTATTTCGGTGGCATTTTAATACGCACTAATTAAGCCGCTCACAAAATTGAGCACTTCATTTAGTGTTTTATTGGGTGTTAAAAATTTTAATTTCTCGTTCCTAATCTATGTAATTTATTTATCTACAAAACTGTCAGTCTCGACTTAAAATGATTTAGATGCTAATGAATACGTGACAGGCTTTTAAATCGGATCAGTGTCGGTTCACTTGACAACACTATCGTGAGTCCGTACCTACGTCACTGGCATCTCGCAACGATCGCGACCTAGGCAACACCAGTCGGAGCCCACCGGCCACATAAATTATGAAAAACACTACAACACGAGCTGTAAACGTCATCCCGATCAGCTGATCAAATATATTGCTACTATAAAAAGTGAAAACGCAACTATTCTGCCCCTATAGCGCCGTCTCCGTCACATGTACGCGACAAACGATCGAACGACAGAGACAGAAACACGCGGCGGACGTCGCGTAAAATGATATATTAATGTCAGCTGTGTTTAGGACCTTGCGAGTGTACAAAATAATAGATGGGAACAAATAAATTACTTGGTGAGTGCATTTCGGAGCGAAATTCGGGCGGTCGTCGACCTCAGCTGCGGTTATGGCGCGTAAATCACGATCAGCGCGATTCTCGAAGGTCGCCATCTTGAACGTTCCGAAATTTGTGTATCGGCACGTTTTTTGAGATGATAAATGACGAATATTTTCATTTTTGCTACATTTTATATTAATGGAACTTGAGGATTTTCATAGACACTTTTGTTTTGATTTGATTACATTGTGACGTCACATCCTTTTATTAACCGGTTACCGGAACGCGTAACCTTACCCATTAGAGTAGATACCTCCATTACGTTTATTTCGACTGTGCAATAAGAGTTAATCTCTAATACAATGAGGTTTAAACCTCAAGGAAAGTGTTTTTTTTGTGACTTAAATCTATTAAATTTTGAATGCCTCAATATTTTGACAGTCCAATAGACAGCGTATAAAAACTCTTTTTAATTATTTCAAAGCATGACAGACCATTGAAAATATAGGCACTATTATAATATACAACCTATATTTATGTTACATTAAGATTGTCTGACATAAATCTAAACCGCCCACGAGTTTTCACAATAATTATCAAAGGAATTAACTACTAACAATTGTACAAGTATAGATTGTGATCAGTAGTTCTGTCTGTACGTTTGTAATCTATATTTTGTGGGTACATTAATCATTTTCGGTTTTGGGTTCCGTCTCGTTCTCTTTAATGGCAACTATATTAGTGCGTATTGCCAGGGCATAAAAAAAATACCTGAAGTACGTGGTTTTGATGTAGATTTTTCATTGCACCAATAGTATTTGCAGGGAATACAAGTGTAAGATAAGAAAAAAAAAAAAAATTTGTGTAAGTTAATACATGGATCTCGACTGAGCAAATTATTCTTTTTATTGCTAGTCACCTCAAAGAGTTATTCTACTTTCATCGAACGTATAGGCTAGCTCTCCGGACCTAGCATAGGAGACTTTGCTAAACATCTGCCATAGAAACAGCAGTACTCCGCTGAACTTACCACAGGATCGAAATCGCGACCCGCTGAGGAGATCCGGCGTGAAATTCAGTGGGCTGGTAAAAGTACAGTGAATTGTGTTTACTTCCGCGACAACGTCTATCTAACTGGAGCAAGAAATCAAACCCTGAGGTAAGGCCGTTACGGCCGAACCATAGGGACTACTCCATAAATATTAAGATAATCCGAAACGGAACCCAAAATAATAATGAGAAATATGCAGATCACGATCTACGGAACGAAACAAAGCTCATTCGTTCAGTAATTAATATTGTAGATACCGAACACACGGACGGACAACACGTTTTGAAACAAAGAATAAAAACCACTAAACGCCTCTCGTTCGCTACGAGGCCGTTAGAAAGAGACGGAACATTTCAATTTCAGCACATCGCCAGCTGTATGTAGGTGTGTAAGTATAATAAATACAAAAATGGCTGCCCGCGATTGATTCCTGTTCGAAATTATATTTTGAATTCGAACGCGAGAGATTTCGTTTATCGAACAATTAAAACTGTTTCCGGTCGTTCGCTTTTTTTTCCGCTCTGCTGTATGCTAATGCTAAGGTATCAAAGATTGCGGGGTCTTAAGCCGACTGTCAAAGTTCGAAACGTACTGTCAGTCAAATATCCGTGTACTCTGTAATAAGAAATTCAAATATACGATTATTTTTATTAACTCTATAACATACCGTTTAATAAATTGAATAATAAAATCATAAAAGGATTTCGTTATTTTATCTGTGCCTTTATGCAGGCCTATTTCTTTAACTAGTCTGTGGATATAGTCTAGTGAAGTATATCGGTATCATTTTGTTTGTCACAATTCACACGCTCCATATTACTGTTAAATACTAGCTTGTTTGTTACGCGAGCGCGCTTCGTTCGTATTACCTAATTGTTGTTGACACTGTTGACAGCTCGGGCGAGGTTTTTGTCATGTCAGCTGATGTATTTTGCGTGTTTAGCGGGAGTCCGACTAGCACGTAAAAATGATGTGACCAGTTTAACTGTCGCGTGTTGATTATTCGCTACATTTGCTTCGCGGTCTCGCTTGTTTTTCAATTCACAATTTCCCTATCTGTCCCGGGGGATGTGGAGCAGGCAGTTTTACTCTTCGGTCTACGTGCTTTGTGTAAAAAGCTGTATCGGTAAATTAGCAAATTTCTAAGGTAATTGATTACAAAAAAAACTAAGCGTCTTTTAACGTTAAATCACAACACTGGACCGAATGCTTTTTCTTTCGAAATCGACACGGAAACTTTAAGAACTGTGACGTCATGTGGAGCCAAGTGAGCGACCACCTGATACGCACCAGCTAATATTTTAAGTGCTTTAAATATTCTCCACCGCTGTTAGACATTGTCTCAGAATATCGACCTACGATTATTTCGCACATTCAATTCATTAAAGAGCATTAGTATCCATTAGTATTCATAAAACTCTAATTAGAGGAGACCGTGATTCGCTAATTGCATCTGTGCACAATAAATTGTCCATCGATCGGTGCTATTTTATGAGCTAATGACGTCACTCAGTCAACAGACCTTTCGTTCAGAAATTTTGCACTTTTTCGTCGTAAATTTAATTACTAATAGGCTTATTTTCGATTACACGGCCCCACTGCAGCTACGAAAGGCGACAAGGCAAGCAATGACCGACATCCAAAAAAGGAGCGCATGACGTAGAAATTAAGGGTCAGTTTCGTCTTTATAGCACACGAGAGCCGTTCGAAGTCTATAAATTAACGTTCTTTAATGACCTAATCAAAGTTTATGACGCGCGTCGAATCCTCCCCGGACTCCTAGTGTTGCCAGCGATTGACTTATTGTGCGCGAACGTAATTATTTTTCGAGTTTTATGAAGATTGGAAAATTTTTGTATGCACGAATTTTTTTAGTGGCAACCCCATTGATTTATGGCTCGCCATCCTCCGTCGCAGATGTTTCGGTACTCACCCATCGCATCTGTAACAAAGAGAAAGTATGTGTAAGTGACACGAATACCAAAGGATGGGTTCAATTAACTCCGGGACGCTGTCTTGAGAATAGTCTAGTCTTGGTTTTATTTAATTTGAAAAAAAAAAAAAAAATCTACAGCGGGTTACCAAACCTTTTTTGTTGGATATTATTTTTTCTTATATAAGAAACATACTTAGACTAAAAAATGCTATATAAAAATAGTGTGATCAACTATCAATTAGGTTACATCTAAATTGAAAAAGTCCGATATCATGTATAGTTTTTTAAGCAAAAATGAATGTTTCTTTGAATTTCTGTGTGCTTTAAGCATTAATGATCGCGATTTTTATTAAACTTATTATAGTTATTATCTATCAGCGTACGACAGGTGGCGCCAGTGCGACTTAAAAAAAAATCTACGAATACTCAATTCGCGTTCTCGTGCCTAATCTTAGATAAGGAATTTGTACATTTCTCAGACAATCTCGCCGATAACAAGTGCTATCTTCAAGTAGCTGATAGCGGGTGTGTATCTGTGACACGTTTGACAGCCGATAGTGTGAAGTTTGACAGCTCTGACAGGAGACACGATCGCGCTACACGTGGAACGTCCGGCGAAAATAAATCTTGTCCTTTCGACGTCGAATAAGATAAAGAGATAAAAGAATTAATACCAGATTCGATACTATTGTTCTGTACAAAATTCGCCATGAGGCAAGATGACCCTCTAGAGCAGTGTTTCCCAAACTTTTTTGAGCCATGTCCCCCTGTAACATTTCTAAAATTTGTATGCCCCCATACATAATTTTCAACAAATTCACATAAGAAACGTAAATGATAGGATTTAGGAAGAAATCACTATGAAACTGTTATCAAAACACAGTAAGTAATATATCAAAACATAAAATAAAAAACTGAAATTCAAATTTAAAATCATTGTAATACAGATTTTCTATATGAATTTAGTGCGACTGCCCCCCTTAATTATCAAATTGCCCCTTTGTAGGGCGTGGGCCCCACATTGGGAAACACCGGTCTAGAGGAACAAAAGCGGTAGCAACTGTCAGTCAGACACGGACGGACAATGTGCGGACGAACTTAAGACGTTTGCAAGGTGACGACCATACTTATCAAAATACGATCAGTATCTTAGACTCACGTTAACTATGATGATAAATTAGTTGTTGGCAATTTACGTTATAAGCACGGGTACCCTTTAAGACCAAATTGACTGGTGGTAGGACCTCTCTGTGAGTCCGCACGGGTAGATACCACCACCCTGACTATTTCCGCCGTGAAGCAGTAATACGTTTCGGTTTGAAGGGCAGCCGTTGTAACTGTACTGAAATCTTAGAACTCATATCTCAATATGAGTGGCGGCAATTACGTTGTAGATGTCTACGGGCTCCGGTAACCACTTAACATAATGTGGGCCGTGAGCTCGTCCACCCGTCTAAGGAATAAAAAATCAAAATAGGCCTTGAACTAGTCCCAATGATGTCCAAGTCTGAATTGTTTCGCAACAACAGCCGGTACCGACAATAGTGCAGGGACAGTAAAATAACGAAATAGCATACATTTATAACGTTTAACGTTGTATTATTATTATTTTTTGTATTATTTTAAATACTTAATCGTTTCGGAGCGGTAAGCACTCGTGATGTGACTCGACTCGTTCCAATGACGACGCCATACTTGGAAATGTACGTAAGTTTCCACTTACTGTTTACCGGGAGGTTTACATGAAACCAAAACTGATTTATTAAAATATTTTTTTGTTAATTTTTTTTTTATTGATTTTGTTGATTCATTAATTTATTTAATAATGAGTAAACGAGTTCAAGGTGCACCGAGTGTTAAGCGGTTGCCGAATTAGGTAAATAAACATGAATGTTGTTGCAAGTATGAATGTTGCTACACTTGTTTAAGTGCGTTACATATTCACTGTTCCATCCCTAAAATCCGAACATGACATATCTGAGTTGCGGCAGAAATGGGTGGAGCTTACCAGTGTGGGCTTACTATACGCTCAACCATCGTCATATCACCAAATAGGGGTTAATTAGAATAGCCTCTTAAGCTAACAACGCTTAGATATAGAAAAAAATATGACATCAATGAGCACACATATTAAATAGTATACACATAATGTGAATATTACTCATGTCAGATTTCTTTCAAGCGCTAGTGGATAGCGGTTGAATAATAAATAATAATCAAATGTCAAAGTCAAAAACAAAATAAGCCTCAAAACTTGAAATATTTATTAACATGACAAGAATTGAGTTGATTTTTAAGAGAAACAAAAAAAACACACCCTATATTCGTTGCACCAACTTATGGTGTGTGTTAAAATTAATATTTTCTTGATATATGTTATTATTTCTGTAGACATTTTTAGAGGTTTAATTATCATTCTATTTAGTTAGGTTGCTAAGTTAGGAACGAATTATTTATAAAGTTTTTAAATATAGGTACATACATATGTCAGTGGGACGCTCATTACGGATCCTCCCGATCCATTAACGGTGCTTTTAGGTACCACAAGCACCAGTCACCGTCCTCGTCGAACCCGTCGCTTGCGACGAAGGGCTCGACGAGTAAATTAACCCACAGACACAGCCCACTGAGTTTCTCGCCGGATCTTCTCAGTGGGTCGCGTTTACGATCCGGTGGTAAATTCTGCGAAGCACTGCTCTTGCTAGGCTCAGCGTTAGCATCACTCCGGTTTGTGCCCCGTGAGCTCACCTACTAGTTAAGGTTACGCTGAAATAGCCTCTCAAGACTTATCAGTTTAGGTAGGAAAAAAAAAGCACGGGATGTTATAAAGTTTATCTTGCACTGCGAGCAAATAGCGAAATTACCATTTAAAAAAATTATATCTGTATACAATAATAATCAAAACGTTCTCATGTGCGACGAGGCTAATCCGTTTGCGTGCTTCGGCCGCGAGCGGGAGACGGTTTTAATAAGCCACTCACAACATATACATACAATATTGCTGCACTCGTCGGATCCACGCACACACCGGCTATTTATACCGCGACCCGAACGGTTATACCGTGACATTTTAGCAGTAGACAACAAACACCGTTATAACGCATTCCGATAAATAATAAACGAAACGCTATTAACGAATAACATATATTATGTTTGATGGGCGAACGTTTTTATTGTGCTTAAACCGACGGAATTTCGAACGTGTCTAGAGAGAAGGCTGGGACGCCTTGACCCGGTTGGGGCGGCGGACCTCACGACGTGTACCGTTAGTCGCATTCGTCACCGACCCGGTTACGAAACACAGAATACTGAATGAACATTATCAATTAATAAAGCATCGGGCCGTCCGTCCGTTTGCTGCGATTAGACAGACGCACAAACAGAAACGCATTAAAATAATCAGCATTAATCCGGCCGAGTGACCGGGCGCGCAGTGTCGCGAGGAGGTGTCGTCGTCCATAATTTATTGAGGCGGCGACGCGGCTAATGCGGCCGGCGACGCTGACTGATAGCGCTGCAGCGCTGCGCGATACGGGCGACGCGGCTAAGTGCGATCGCTTGTACCGCTGATACCGCATGGGATTCGCCTACGCTCCGAGCGTTCGTCTGGTGCAACTCAAGCCGAGTGCGAGGGAACTTCATTTGTCTGCTCCTTGAGGAATTCGTGGTCCCGCGAGACCCGTCTCCGCTGCCGATAAGTGGTTATTCAACCGGCTTCTAATGTTTACATAATATACAGCGCGCTCAACAGTTGCATGATGATTGAAAACCGCAACAACGAGTGTACTTGAACGTCATTAGGTACTCGAGTATCAGATACGGACAATATTATGAGCCGATCCATAACATCGAGATAGGTTATCGTGACGAAACCGGGAACTATAGGTACATTCGAGGGCGTATTACACATAAATCATTAAANGGCTTCTAATGTTTACATAATATACAGCGCGCTCAACAGTTGCATGATGATTGAAAACCGCAACAACGAGTGTACTTGAACGTCATTAGGTACTCGAGTATCAGATACGGACAATATTATGAGCCGATCCATAACATCGAGATAGGTTATCGTGACGAAACCGGGAACTATAGGTACATTCGAGGGCGTATTACACATAAATCATTAAAAGAATAACAAAATTACATTAATAACGTCCGCGACTTAAACAAATACACAATTTCACCAAATTCCCTTCATTCATAACAAAAGCAATCAAAGAAAACAAGGAATCTCATTTGGACCGCGACGATCAGTTTCCTGCAATCAACGTTTATAATAACCGGGCAATTATAAGTGAGGCATTATCCTCGGAGACGCCCGGCCGATATTAACCGGGATTACCGGATCCCGCCCGGCCCGGATGCGGGGATTTGCCCGGATCGCTCCCGATGATGAAACACGAAACGGGAGACGGTTTTTGTTTCCGATACGTGGTGCCCTGTCATCTGGAAATCTATTTTGGGAATCGTGAACCCGGCCAAAGTATCTACACTAAGTATGCTTTACGGGAAATAACGTTATTAGTTCAGTGGTTCTCTTTTGTCACGTAATGATATACATAGCCGATTGCCATTATCGGGGGAGTATAGTTATATGTTGACCGTGGACTCTTACAGTTAATGTGTTTGTTTGTTTTGCGAGATACAGTGTTACGTACAACATCGAATACCCATCTGTTTATCGGGGCACGCTTCCCAAGCCCGCAAGATGTATGTGACCGTTCGGAGGGCTAAGGCATTTTATTATCCGCATTCCCGCATGTTCCTCGTTACGAAAACAACGCGAAAGGGAACGAAAATAAGAAGCAAATCCCGGAAAATTCGTGAATAGTTTCCCCCCGAGGTACCAGGGCCTCATACGGCCGCGGAGGATCGTAGAGCTAATGATTCCGCCAGCACCGAGGCTTCGACAAATCCCGCCCGATGTTCGTTGCGGAAAATACCTGGAAAATCGAAATGCTATTTCCCCTCGTCGTCTTGAAGCCGCGTTACGTGACGCGTAA